TCTTGGGAGCCTTCGGGGCGCTCTTTGGGCTATGTTGGGAATATATATCAAAGAAGGGGGGAGCCTTAATTAGCCTCGCCCCTCTAGAGTGCCTCGGATCGCCTCTTGGGCTCCCCCAAGAGGCCAAAATCCTTCCAAAACCTAGGTAAAATCAATGTTTTGTGTTTTCTCGCCTTTTCGCTCTTGGAGCTGTCTTGGGCCATCTTGGACGTCCCAACGCGTCGCGGAACGCCTCGTCCAGGTCAGTGGGGAGGGGTAAGGGGAGGGGTAAACCCCTCCCCGAAGGGGAAGAAGGGGGTTGGCAGAGGAAACTCTCTAGACCACCTACGCCCTAAAGGGCTGGTGGGATTCCAATGGTTGCTTGAAGATTTCAGCGTCCCCGCCTATTTCGATTCTCAGAAGTCCAGGACGGCCGAACCAACCTCCGAATCGGCCCCCCGACGTCCCAACAAGCCCTCAAGAGGGCCCAAAACGGCCCAAGAGGGCCCCCAGGCAGCCCAAAGAGGCCGCCGAGATGCCCCAAGAGGCCCCCCAAACGGCCCAAGAGTACCCAAAAACAGTTCCCGAAGGGACCAGACAGCGCAAGAGCGCCCCCAAGAAACCCACACGGGGCTCCGAGAGGCACCCAAGAGGCCTTCCAGAGGCCTCCCAAACGCCCCCGCGAGGGCCCAAGAGGCCCCAGAGAAGCCTCCCAGGGGCCCCCAAAAAGTTCCCAGAGGCCCGACAACGACTGGACAGTACGTGCTCCGGACGTGCACCCCGCGAAGCGAGAGGAATCACTGATTGTCCCCATGTTTTTGCCAGGTGCTGGCCTTCGCGCTCTTCAATCCCACCAGCCCTTTAGGGCGTAGGTGGTCTAGAGAGTTTCCTCTGCCAACCCCCCTTCTTTCCCTTCGGGGAGGGGTTTACCCCTCCCCTTACCCCTCCCCACTGACCTGGACGGGGCGTTCCGCGACGCGTTGGGACGCCCAAGATGGCCCAAGACTGCTCCAAGAGCGAAAAGGCGAGAAAACACAAAACATTGATTTTCCTTAGGTTTTGGAAGGATTTTGGCCTCTTGGGGGGGCCCAAGAGGCGATCCGAGGCACTCTAGAGGGGCGAGGCTAATTAAGGCTCCCCCCTTCTTTGATAGATCTCCTCCAAGATGGCCCCAAGTGCGCCCCGAAGGCTCCCAAGAGCGCCCCAAGAGCGCCCCAAGAGCGCCCCAAGAGACCCCAAGAGGCCCCCAAGAAGCCTCTAAGAGGCTGCCAAGAGACCCCCAAGAGGCCCCAAGAGAGTCCAAGATGGCCCAAGACGGCTCCAAGAGCGAAAAGGCGAGAAAGCAAAAAACATTGATTTTACCTAGGTTTTGGAAGGATTTTGGCCTCTTGGGGGGCCCAAGAGGCGACTCGAGGCACTCTAGAGGGGCAGCGCTAATATACGACCCTCCCTTCTTTGATCGATCTCCTCCAAGATGGCCCCAAGAGCGCCCCGAAGGCTCCCAAGAGCGCCCCAAGAGCGCCCCAAGAGCGCCCCAAGAGGGCCCCAAGAGGCCCCAAGAGGCCCCCAAGATGCCCCCAAGAGGCTCCCAAGAGACCCCCAAGAGGCCCCAAGATGCTCCCAAGATGGCCCAAGACGGCTCCAAGAGCGAAAAGGCGAGAAAGCAAAAAACATTGATTTTCCTTAGGTTTTGGACGGATTTTGGCCTCTAGGAAGGCCCAAGAGGCGATTCGAGGCACTCTAGAGGGGCAACGCTAATAAGCAACCCCCCCTTCTTGATAGATCTCCTCCAAGATGGCCCCAAGAGCGCCCCGAAGGCTCCCAAGAGCGCCCCAAGAGCGCCCCAAGAGGGCCCCAAGAGGCCCCAAGAGGCCCCCAAGAGGCCTCCAAGAGGCCTCCAAGAGACTCCCAAAAGGACACAAGAAGCTCCCCGAGATACGCAAGAGGCCCCCGGGACCGCCAAGAGGCCCCAAAGACGGCCCAAGAGGCCCCCAAGCTCGCCATTGTCCTCCTCCTCCTCCTCTTTTTCTCCCTCCTCCCTCCTCCCCCTCCCCCTCCTCCTCCTCCTCCTTCTCCTCCTCCTCCTCCTCCTTCTCGTCCTCCTCGTCCTCGCCCTCCTCCATCTCCTCCTCCTCATCTTCCTCCTCCTCCTCCTCCTCTTCCTCCTCCCCCTCCTCCTCCTGCTCCTCCTCCTGCTCCTCGTCTTCCTCCTCCTACTCCGACGACGACGACTCCTCCTACATCCTCCCCCTCTTGGAACGTATGGCGGCTTAACCCGCTCTTTGTTCTTCTGCATGCTCCCCCGCTTCCCTCATCACCTCCACTCCTCTGGGGCTCATTTCTGGACGGGCTGGTGGGGATACGCGAAGCGTCTAGAATTTTTGACAGTCCAGGACGGACGAACAGGCTCCCAATGTCGCCCCAAAGCAAGAACTCCCAGAAGGGAACCAAAATGGGCGCAAGACGGCCCCACTGCCACAGTTGCGGCATCAGCGTCGTTGCGTTGGACGGAAAATCCCTGGTGAAGCTAAGAGCGAGGACCATTTGCCAAACAACAACCTCTCAGAAAATATGCGAGACCACAGCTGCAACTGCCACCGCTGCGGCGACAACGCCGCCTCGTCGGACGGAAGCCCTTTGTGGGCTTAGGACACATGGCGAACGCACCAACGAGAGCACCACTTTTCGCGGGCGGAAAAGTTCCACATTTAAGAATCATAACGACATGCAACCCAAGCCCACCCTGTGCAACAACACCGTGTAAACATGTAGCGGTTCTCAAACTAGCACGGCATCGGTGGAGAAAGGGGCGTCTTCTCTGCGCTAACACATCGCAAAGGGGGGGCCTGACCTCCGACGCAATCGCGACGGGGGCTCCAGACGTCCCGACCTCATCCAGCGACACATGTTTTTGGTGATGGTTGTCATGCCGGCCCAAGGCTTCCGACAACGGCTCGCTCCTAGGGCGTCGAAAACACTAGACCGCCATCGCTCGCCGCGTTGCGCGTTCTCGTTCACGGCGCATGGAAAGCTGGGGAACAAAAAATAGGCGCATGAGGACGAGGAGGAGGCCTGGCATGTAACCCGAAAGCGAGGAGAAGCAGGAGGAACACAAAAACGCGCAGGAGGCTCAGCAGCAGGAGGGGCTACACGTGGAGGAGCAGGGGCAGACCACACTGCCCCGAATTATCGCTCGCGGCGCGCAGAAGGGGGGAGAGGAAAAGGGGCCCCGAACAGGCCCCCCTGGGGCCCCCGAAAAGGCTCCCGAGGGTCTCAAAACATGCATCCAAAACGCCTTCTACAGGCCTCCAAGCTGCCCCCCCCCCCCCCCGAGAAGCCCAAACTGGCCCCAATGTTTCCAACACGCTTGCGCCTGAGCACAAGCGCTGCAATGCAAAACGTTTTTCCAAGCTTTCACATCTTCTCCCGTCTCCGGTGTCCGTCACATCCGCGATCCCCAGATAGGGCCCGCAGAGGACCGCGCAAAAAGGGCCCAGATACCTCCAAAACACCATGGTTCCCAGCAGAGGCCGTTGATGCACAAGGCTCCACAAAGTGCTGTGACGCAGACAGCTCTATCACACAACTGTTCAAAGAGTGCGCCAAATCGGCGAGGTGTCAACTCAAAGAGGGCCAAACCCTGGCCCCAAAGAGGCATTCCAATAACCGCCGAACATCTCAAACAACCGCCGGAAATCTCCTCACCCTCGTCAGGATCCTCCTTCTCCCCCTCCCGTTCCACTTACCGCTTCGTCCTGCTCGTCCCCATCCTCAACATCCTGCGACTCCTGCCCCTCCCCCCTCCACCCCCCTCCACCTCATCATGATCCTCCTCCTCCTCCTCCTCATCCTACTCCGTTGCCTCCATTCCCAGTCCTCATCATCCTCACCGCTCGCCGTCGTCGCTGGTCATGACCGCCATCGTGCGCTTCCGGCTGCAACGGAAGCGTCCTGGACCGGCGGCACTGGCCGGAGGCCACTACAATTATCGCTGGCGGCGCGCAGAAGGGGGGAGATGAGGGGGAAGGCTTCGTAGGAGCAGGGTGCTCCTAAGAAGCCTTCCCCCCTTCCCGCTCCCCCCCTTTGCGCTGGGCCAACATCGGGCGCGGCCTGACCGACCCCTTCCGTCACGCGCCTCCCCGTGGCGAGCCCCTCGCCACCGAGGCGCCCCTCTGGCGGCCAGCCCGCGCGTCCTGCAGGCCAGACGAGGGGACCGCCCCACCCGAGGAGTCGTCTTGCTTGGGGGCAGGGCAGGCCCCCAGACCCCACGGGGCCCAGCCCTCCGCCCCTCTAAGGCGACGCCTGGAAGCGGACAGCATCGGGTGAGGATAAGTCGTCGGGTGTCGCCAGAAGTGCCCTTGGCCCAGGGTGCCCCCAGGATCTCCGATGAGGCCGCCAAGGCCTCCAAAGCACCCCTCACGAGGCCCACAGGGCCCAGAGGCACCAAAACGGAGCGGAAAGCTGGGGGCACCGTGCGCCAGGGGAACCTTCAGCAACCCCCGAAATCGTGAATCTCCGAGTTCCAGCGGCTCTGGAGGACGTCTCGGGCACTGCGGCCTCCTTGGAGCGTTCCAGAACGCTCTGAGAGCGTTCCGGAACGCTCTGGAACGGTTACCCTCGTCCTTGTCCCGTCCGATCCTCCCCTCCTTCGGCACCAGGGAGACGTGGCAGGGGGACAGCATCCCACCTCCCTCGATAAGCTCCCTTCTTCCCCATACCTCCGATGGCACGGCTGGTTGGTGACGTGGGCCCCTGGAGCGCTCGACCCCATGTCCAGTACTGCCTTCCCGCCAATGAGCGCACTTTGGCCAGAGACCAGGGACCCCCCCGATGAAATGTTGCAGTGTCCGACAAGATCCGAGACAGACAGGTCTCAAACTGGCAACTCCCGGAGATGCCGCTGACAGAACCTGTTGTTTGACGCTCCGGGGGCATCGTCGAACCGCGCCCAGTGCGATTCCTCCGCGGCTTCCGCCCCGACGGCGGCGGCGGCCGCGACGAGGCGGCCGCGGCAGACGAGCCTGGGAGATCGACTTGGGGCGGGGCAGCTGCTTGGGCAGCTGCTGCTGCCAGCTGGGCGCCGCGGCCCCAGCTTCCGAGGGTTCGTCGGCCAGCCCCGGCAGGCGCCTCGGCGGAAGGACGGCGCGATCGCATCGAGAACAGAAATGATCCCCATGAGGCCCGGGCGTCGGGACGAGAAGGCAGAACGTTCGCAAGTTCTCGGCGCCAGCCAAGACCGTCAGAAAAGGTCAACGTTGCAGTCCAAGGATTCTGGATTCTGGAAACGGAAGCCGGGAAAAAACTGGGACCCAGAAACCATCAAGTTTCCAACCAGGAACTCCGAAGTTTCAACATTGTTGACGAATGAAACATCAGCAACCCAACACTTACGACCACGAAGCAAGATCATCCAAATAACGACACGCCATTTACAACAAGAGCAACATCATCAACCACAGAAACCAGGAACTCTGACATCACTCAGCCCAAGGCCCTGAACCGAAATGCCGTAAGAGCCCTCAGCCCTGAATCCTATGCCCGATGACCTGAGCTCTAAACCTGAGCCCCTCTTCCCTGACGACCTCACACTAAACACTACCCTAAAACCCCACCCCCATCACCGGAACCCCAACACCGTAACCCTAACACCCCAACCCTGGTCATACACCTTACCCCTACCGCCCTAACCCAAGGCGCGCACCGTAACCCCAACACACGGACCACGAAGCCAAATCCCAGACACCACAGGCCCAACAACTTGAACGAAACACCCTGCCCCTAAGCACTAATCTTAAGTCAGGCACGTCCCCCTACAGGGGAATTTTGTGTGACAAATTAAGGATATCCTCAAAATACCCCAACCATGCTCAAAAATAGCTAAGACATAGTCCCCCGACTATTTTTTATAATATGTTTGGATACTCCCCCTGGATACTCCCCCTGTAGAGGGACAGGCCCGACTTAAAGCACTGATCCGAACCCCATCAAGGCCCCCACCAGGGCGGCGGCGAGAGAGGCGAGGGCGAGGTCGACCCCCCACTGGGCGGGCGGGTCGGGTGGTCGGACCACGGGCCAAGTTCCTTGAACGAAACACCCTGCCCCTAAGCACTAATCTTAAGTCGGGCACGCGAACCCCATCAGGGCCTCCACCAGGGCGACGGCGAGAGAGGCGAGGGCGAGGACGACCCCCCACTTTACCAGCCTCGAACTTATCCCTATCCCTAAGATTGACCCGCCCAAAGGCGATGACAATATCAGGGATGCGCCCTCAAAAAAATAAGGGAATACCTACTAAGATTGGCATCGTGATGAGGAGATGCCCAGCATAGGGATAGGGATATGTGCCAGGCTGGTATCTACTGGGCGGGCGGGTCGGGCGGGCGGACCACGGGCAGGGCGGGCGGGCGAAACCCTACGGGCGGGGCGGGCGTGCAGGCCCCGGAGGCTGGCCGGTCGGGCTGGGCGGGACACGAAATTGAGCAGGGACCGACCGTCCCGGCATTCCTACAGTCATACCACGAAGTGTTCTTAGACCGCCAAGAAATGTTCTGAGGACAAAAAGCAATGTTCTTAGAACATAAGCCCGATGTGATAAAGCAAGACAGGCTCCGCCAGAAATGTTCTAAGAACATGTCGTGGGTACCACAGAAGGTTCTTAGAACATTGTTTGGTAGGGCTATAGGCGAGCCAGGACGCTTCGCCGCTGCTTGACTAAAGCAACGCGCGATCTATCCAGCTGAACAAACTCGAAGGCGACGACGAACACGAGGAGGGCGAGGACGATCCTAACAGGCGGGCCATAATGGGAGGTTTTGGAGGGCGGATTTTAACAGGCTGGGCGGACGGGTGGACCCTAACGAGCTGTCGGGTCGGGTCGGGCGGGAGATCCCCCAAGCGAACCTGTAAATCCGAAACCGGGAAATCGGGCATCCCAGAACCCTATAAATTCCGAGGCACCCAACTCCACCGAACTCAAACAGGCGAGTATATCGAACAACGATGCTGGTGAAGATGACGGGTATGACTGAGTCGGCGACGGCGACGGAGACAGCTCCTCCGGCTCCTCCGTCTCCCCCGGCCCCTCTTACAATGCCCCCCATAACAATATTACCCAGAACAAACGATAGAACGGACAACCAACACCATTGCACTGCAAGAAACTGATTCCACTCTGGGTAAATCAAATTGGCAAACCTGCGGCGACGGCAAACACGACCGCGATATTGACAACAACGCGGCCACGACCGAAATTCTCTCTTTGCCTGGGCAGTGCATCGTGTTGTTCCTTAACGCAAAAAAAACCTTGCCAGACGAACCCGTCACCAGAATCTGAAAAACATGCGGCGCACGATGTGTCCAGTCATCTTCGGGCACCCAGGCCATGAAACACACCCCAAGCGCAGCAGAACTTCCCGGGAAAAGTGCTTGGGACTTCCAGGGCCGCAGAAGGACGTCAGCGGCACCCCGACTCCTCATCCTCGTCCTCCTCGTTCTCCTCCGCACCCTGACGTCTGAACCAGAACAACCTGACCCGAAACACTCAACCTCCTAACACCGTAACGCTGCCAACCTGACTATGATACCTAACCCCTGAACCGTAGCACCTAATACCTTAACCCTATGCCTAACACCCTAACCCTAACACCCGAGCCCTGTCACACTAAACCTAACACCTTGACACCCTGACCCTAACCCTAGCATTAGCCCTAACACCCTCATTCTACGCACTACCCAAACACACACACACACACAAAACCCTAACACTAACACCCTACACCCTACACCCTACACCCTGACGCGTTGACCTTAGCGCCCCCTCCCTACGCACGAGTCGAATCTCTAACTCCCTGACCAAAAACACCCGAAACCAAGCATCATACGCTTAACCCCTTGACGGAGACAACCTGACTCTAAGCACGAGCCCTACCCCTGAGATCCCAAGCATACCACCCTCACCATAACAACTTAAACACTAGCACCGACCCTAACACCTGAGCCCCAACGCCACAGCCTTGACCTTAACACACTGAATCTAACACACTAACCATCTCAACCGAAACCTGACCGTTATTCCTGTACCCTCACGCCCGAACCCTGAACACTAGACCCAACATCCTAACCCTGGACCTAACCCCTTTTTCCCAACACCCTTACCCGAAGCATGAACCCATGACCCTAGCCCCTCAACCCTAACACCCTAACCCTAAGCGATGACTGTAAGCCTCAAACCCAAACCATGTAACACGAACCTTCGGAACGATATCCCGACCACCGTGTTAAAACCAACGCCCGAGCCCTGAACACTACCCCAACCCCAAAGCACCAACGCTAACACCCTACCCTGAACCCGAGCACCGTAACCAGAATCACCCTGAACACGATTCCCAGAACCCTAACTCTAAGTCTCACGGGCGGGCGGAGCCCAACGAGACGGTCGAGCGGGCGGACCCCGACGGGCCGGCAGGTCGGGTCGGGTGGGACGTTCGACTAGCGTGCAGTCCATCCAGCACGACCCTCACCAGAGGACGAGGGCGAGGACGACCCTGTAGGGCGGGCGGGCGGGCAGGTCGGGCGGGCGGACCATAACGGGCGGGGTGGTCGGGCGGACCTTCACGTGCTGGTCGGGCGGGCGGGACCGAACAGGCGGGGCCAGCTGGCGGACCCCCACGGGCGGATCGGGCGGACGGACCTTAACGGGCGGGCGGGTCGGGCAAGACACCAAAGTAGCGAACAACCCATGCAGCTGGATAGCCGCGAGAGCGACGACGAAGAAGACAAGGGCGACGACGACGACGACGACGAGGGCGACGACAACGACGAGGACAACGACGACGACGATGGCGACGAGGATGAGGGCAACGACGGCGACGACGACGACGACGGCGACAAAAGCAACATCGACGACGAGGATGGCAACGACGGCGGCGACGTCCCTACAAGACAGACCCTGACGAGCGGGTTGGGCAGACGGACCCTACCAGGCGGGGCGGGCGGGCGGACACTGACGGGCGGGTCGGCTGGGCAGTCTCCGACGGGCGGGTCGGGCGGGCGGAACCTACTCAGCAAGGGGGGGGCGGGCGGACACTGACGGGCGGGTCGGCCGGGCAGACCCTAACGGGCGGGTCGGGCGGGCGGATATTCACGGGCGGGTCGGGCGGGCGGGCGGGCGATGACAGTAGCGCGCAGACCACCCAGCAGGACAACCACGAGTGCAGCGACAAGGACGACGATGGCGACCCGGACGAATACGACGACAACGACGACGACGAGAGCGACAACGACGGCGACGATGAGGGCCAGACGACGTGGACGACGACGACTACGACAGCGTGGGCGACGATGGGGGCGACGAGGATGACAGCATAGAGGAAGAGAACGACGACGACGACGACGACGACGAGAGCAGCGTTACTGTCTCCGACGACGCGAACTAGCGCGAGAGCGAGGACGACGACACCCATCCCACATTACCACAGCAACTGCTCTACGGATACATCCGAAACGAGAGGCATTCCCAAGACCAGAAACATTTCCCGGCTCGTGTTTGGAATCCCCGTGCTTGTCTCTCTCAACCCTAGGCTCGTGTTTGCAATCTCCAGGCTAAATCCGGACATTCCCGTGTGTCCAGGTGTCGGGGCTTTGCCCGTACATTCCCCTCGCATGCTTCGATGTCGTGCGTTTGCATGTTCGCAAGATGATCCACGATACTCCTCAATAGCCCTCGCCCAAGAAATATGGCACACGTCCGAGCAACGCCAAGAACCACCAATTCCTGGGTTCTTTCTGGATTTCAAAAATGCGGGCCCGAATCTCCAGAAGTCGAGATTTACCGTTCGAAAACGCGGCCCGCGAAAACGATCCGGTCTGGGTGTCACTGGGGTCGAGAAGGCCAGGGCCCCAGGGACCCACGTCGCAGAAAAGAATGGGGGCCCACGGTATCTCGTCGAACAAATCCCGAGATGGCACGTTCTCTGGACCTCCTCCTTGCCCAACCCCCCATCCACATGACTCGCATCCGTGCCCCCGTCCCGCTCTGGACACCTCGTCGTCCTTCCAGTCTTCGTCTTCGTCGTCGCCGCCGCCGTCGTCCCCGTCGACGAGACGACGACGAAGCGGCGACGACGAGACGACCAGGAGGCCTCTGTGCGGGCCTTTCGGATCGGAAGGCAAAGGCGTGCAGGCGCCGCCGCGCCACCTCCTCGCCGTCGGCGTCCTTCGGGGCGGCGGAGGCGGGGGGGAGCGGTGAGAGGCGAAGGCGCTGTGCTTGCGCGACGCGGCGAGAAGCGAGGTCGCCGAGGAGCGAACGGAGGGGGCACAGACGGACCAAAGGGGGGAGAGGTGGGTGAGGGGCGGCAGGAGGAGGCGCGCGGAGCTGGAGGGACGAGCTGGGGCGAGGGGCGCGAATGAGAGCGGGGGGCCGCTGAAGAGGGGCGGGGGGGGCTGCAGTGGCTCGTTCTTCCTCCTCCGCCCTGCTCTTCCTTCTCCCTCCATTTCTTCCACTTCCTCCTTTCTATCCCTAGCCCCTGGCTCTTCATGCTCCTCCCCCCGTCCTCCCACTCAGCCCTCCTTTCCCCCTCCCTTTCCCTATAACTGGTGGCAACTCATGGGAGGCCTTCGTGGGCATCAGCCGGGTTTGCTGAGCCTGGTTGAGGGGAGACTGGGCAGGTCCATGCCGCATTAGGTTCATACTTACGCAACAGTGTGCGCAGTCAATGGGGGTGAAACCACAAGTGACTGGAAGTTGCCAAAAGATGTACCAGCGCCGACGCAGAATCCCACCTCTCATTAGTTGTAGTCTACAGGGGCCCCCGACCACAAGAGACCTTCAACAAGAGACCCAACCTTAAGACCCCAGGACGTCCACTGATTTTTGGTGTCGGAACGCCACGCTTTCCATCGCTCGTCGAAACCCCGGAAAACTAGGGAACCCTGGATGCACGCAAGGTGTTTCTTGGCATGGGTCCCCACTGTATTTCCACCGTGTTGTTTTCTCCTCATCTTCGTCTTCCCCTACATGCCCTGCCCCCCGGCACCCGCGAGGGATGCGCTCTCTGGAGGCAAGAGCTCGCCCCCTGAGGCGGAGGGGTTCGCTATCTGGTGGCACGGGCTCGTTCTCCAAGGCGGGATGGGAAACATGTGAAGGGCAATTGTGGAAAGTATAAGAAGACGGAGCGTGTGTGTGTGTGTGTGTGTGTGTGTGTGTGTGTGTGTGTGTGTGTGTGTGTGTGTGTGTGTGTGTGTGTGTGTGTGTGTGTGTGTGTGTGTGTGTGAGGCGCTTGTCCGTTCGAGGCGTCGTCTCCGTCATTCGTTAGTCGTCGTCTCTGTCGCCCCCTTCCTTGCAGCCCCCATTTCCCTGGGCCCGTCGCCGCTATCCCCTTTTCCTGGGCCCCCCTCCTCACGCGCGCCAGCTAAAGCGAAATTGAGCAACGTCGTAATTCAGTCGAAGTGAAGACCCTTCTTCCCCTTGGTCCCTCCCCCGTCGAGGGGGTCGAGGGGGGGGTCCCGGGGGGTGTCCCCGGGGAAGTCGCCACCCAGATACGACTCAACGAAAGCCCCAGGACGGGCCAAGAGCGCCCGAGGAGGCACCCGAGACGGTACAAGAGGGCTTCGAATCGCCGACAGATCTGTCAAGGACGCTTCGACGGCCCCTAGACGGCCCATGAGGCCTGCAAGACGCCACAGGAGGCCTCCAGGAGAAATCCCCAGAAGGCCCCAAGAGGCAACATTCTCGCATCTTCCGGTTCCCCACGCTCCAATCAGCGGTGGACAAACCTCCCTTTAATAAACCTCCCCTTAGTGAAAACGGCCTGGGACCGAAACCGACGGACCTGGACCCGCAAAAATGACTGCCGCGACGCCCTCTCGCGAATCGAAAATGGCCAATTCGCTAATCGACGTGTCAGGGTACGAGGTCTATCCACCTCAGATCCAAGGCGCCCAAGGAGGCCCCAAAGATCGGCCCAAGACGGCCCAAAGTCCTCCAAGCTATGCCCAAAACTGCCAGAGAGGGCCCAAGACGGCCCGAGACGCCCGCCAGGCAGGCCGACGGGCACCCAGGACGGCTCTACGAGGGTGCCCAGACGGGGGACGCGACTGGACAGCTCGAGCCCTCGCCCACGAGAAGCCTCCAAGACGCCTCCAGGAGGCCCCCAACAGCTTTATCTCCACCCCCTGCTCCTCCACCTCCTACTTCTCCTCCTCCTCATCATAACCATCATCACGACCATCATTACCATTATGACAATCACTATTATCATCGTCATCATCATCATCTTCATCACCACCATCAGCATCAGCATCATCAGCATCATCACCATCGTCATCAGCATCATCATCATCACCATCACCATCAGCATCATCAGCATCAGCATCATCAGCATCATCAGCATGATCATCATCACCAGCTCCAGCACCACCACCACAACCATCATCATCAGCATCATCATCACCATCGGCACCTCATCATCAACAACATCATCAATATCAGCATCATCACCATCATCCACAGCATCATCTTCATCAGCACCAGCCGCATCACCATCATCATTACTATCACCATCGCCATGATCAGCATCAGCACCAGCATCAGCATCGTCATCGTCATCATCATCATTATCAAAATCATCCGCACCAACATCATGATCCGCATCGTCATGATCATCACCAGCATATTCATCATCAGCATCATCAGCATCAGCATCACCATCATCATCACCACCATCATCACCACAGGCATCGTCATCATTACAACCACCCTCATCAGCATCTCCATCATCAGCAGTACATCAGCATCATCATCGTCAACATCATCACCTCTACCACCATCATCACCAAGATCATCACCATCATCGTCATTATCATCATCACCATCAACAACACCATCATCAACAACTACAATAATATAATCAGCATCCTCATGCTCCTCATCATTATCATCATCTTCTGTGTGCATCTTGAATATGCCAAACGGGTTTCTTAGCGTTTGTAGGCTTCAACAAGAAAACTGAAAACGCTAAAAACATGATGCGCTGTTCACCGTTGATCGATCATGCTTTAGCATTTTCGGATCCGTGTATTTCGTGCTTCGTTCTCGTTGCGTATCCCTATCGTCTTCTTTACACAAGTTGGCTTTTCTGGGGCCGTCGCTGGTGACTCGTCGCGGCAACCCGCCCTCCCCTACTGCCGCCCCCCTTCCGGTGTTAGACCAGTGTCTGAGCGATTGTTGGGCGTTTTTAGGTCTCAGCGCGGGAACCGGTTTTTGGGCCACCCCCCGTGTACGCAGCTCATGGATCAGGGCAGGCGCGTCGACCTGGGAGAGGGAAAGGGGGGGCATAAAGGGCGAACGGTGGCAGGGCGGGGAGCGCGGGGGCCAAGTTGGCAGAGAAAACAAGGAGGAGCCTTCGACGATAATGCAAAAAAGGACAACACAACGCTGTACCACAGCGACGAAGCTTAAAACGCCCAAACAACGACCCAAATACCGCTAAAAAAAACCTAGCGTCTACCACTAATTGTTTCAAGCGTTCTCAGCCTGTCAAAAATCCCAAACTAGAAAACGCTAAACAAAAACGCCCGAGGCGATTCAACTATGAACCAATATTATCATCATGATCATCATCATCGCTCGTCACCACCATCACCCCACCAACACCACCACCTCCACCACCATCACCACCACCACCACCATCATCATCATCATCATCATCATCATCATCACCATCACCATCACCATCACCATCATCACCATCACCATCACCATCACCATCACCATCATCATCATCATCATCATCATCAACATCATCATCATCATCATCATCATCATCATCATAAGCAACAGCAGCATCAGCATCATCATCATCCGCCTCCTGTCCTCCCCTGGATGCCCCCTGATCACCCTCTTCCCCCCCTTCTCCTGCTCCTCACCCTCCTCCTCCTCCTGTTCCTTCGCCTCGTCTTCATCGTCCTCCACCTGTTCATTGCCTTCTTCGCCCTCCTCCTGCCCCCCCTCCTCCGCATGCGCTTCCTCCTCCATCCCTTCCTGCTCCACCGCCTCCTCCTCCTCCTCCTCCTCCTGCTCGTCCTGTTCTTCCTCCTCCTCCTCCTCACCCTTTCCTTCCTTATCATCCCCCTCCTTCCTTACCATCCCTCCTCCTCGTCATCATCATCCTCATCCTCCTCATCATCCTCCTCATCATGCTTCCCCTCCCCCGCGTGCTCTTCCCCCGGTGCTCCGCAGCCTTTCCTCGCCCTCTTCCTCTCCATGCTCCTCCTCCTCCTGCCCCTCCTCTTCCGCCGCCTCCTCAGCGTCCTGCTTCTTCTCCTGCTCCTCCGACTCCCATTCTCCTCGTCATTCCACTTCTCATTCCCGCCCCGTCCTCCCCCTACCCCTGCTCACCCTCCCCATCCTCCTGCGCATCCTCCTCCTCCTCTTCCTCCTGCTGCTCCACCGCGTCCTCCGCATCATCCTCCTGCTCCACCTCCCCCCCCTCCTCCACGTCGTCGTCGTCTTTAGGGTCGGCGGCATCGGCCGTAAAGCCTCACAAAATGAGATGTTCTTGCAATTTCACTGTCCTGTCACATGCATGTCCACGACATGCGGCTGGGAAACGAACGACCCTGTAAACATCAAACGCCTACAAATGTTCGGATGGAGAAAATGGGGGCGGATAACATGCTTCAAACAACCAGTGTCAAAACTCGGATGCTGCCACGAACTGAAGGCAAGGCCAAAGGACATCTTCACAAGGCTAGGGAGAAGTGGCGCAGACGAGAAGGCGGTTGCACTTGAAAGCAGGTCTCTTCTCACCCAACGGGTGGGACAGAGGCGCACTACGCAGGGAGAAAGGAGGAGCCGGAGGAAGGAGGAAAACGATGAGGATGAGGAAGGGGAAAGGAGGGGAATAGGGGAGCAGGAAGGGGAAAGAAGGAACAGGATGGGAGCAGGAGAGGGAAGGGAAAGAGATGGTTAAAACGAAAATGCCCGACATCGTCTCCTCTACTCTAGCCCCGTGCGCTGCGCGATCGAGGACAGTAAAACCGCCCTGTGAGGTGTGGACGCCCCCCCTGGTCCGACGGACCGTTGGCACGACTACGGTCAGCCCGTGAAATAAGGATGCGCGGTAGGGATGGAAGGGCCCTGGAAGACCATTTCGGGGTTTTCGAGCGGGGCTGGCCAGCGAAAGTCGCCTAGGATGGGCCGAACGGGCAAGGATGCAAACGCAACCTTGGAGAGTTGCTCATCCTTACTATGCGGGTTCAACATGCAGGCCGCTCACAACTGCAATCGAGCACATAACCAGTACAACGCAGCGAACGATAGCGCACTGCCGCGGCTGACACGGCATCTGCCAATTTTCGGTGGGTGTGCGCTCACCCGAAAGCTCGACCGAGACCAAGCAGCGCCTACTCCGGATTCCATACTAAAGTAGGGGGGGGGGTACATTTGGCGGGGGGGTCTGATTTGAGCTGTCTTGAAGGGTTAGGGGGGGTCTGGGCAAAGTGCCGCCCTTTCATGGATGGTCTGGGGGGGTCTAAAACTTGTGGTCTTGGAGGATTGTGACCCCCTCCCTGTTATTACGAACTCTGGAGTACACATACACATGAGCACACGTGAGCGCAGAGACGCACATGCATGCTCGGGCCGGTCGAAAAGGGGGGGGGGATAGCAAACGGGGGGGGGGGGGGGGAAAATCAGCTCACGTGGCTGATTTTCCCGGAACCTCCCGGCGCCAGAGGCGGCTATGTATCGAGGAATGGGCCCCTCGGTGGGGCCGAAAGCGGACCGGCTGCGTGCAGCAAATTCCGTACCCCCCCCTTTCCCAATCCCCCCCCTTTCGTCCGGGCCGACATGCATACGCGGGCACATGCGGATGCGCACGTACACAGAACAGGGCACACGAACACAACATCCTGCACACACAGGCAGCTACGCACAAGTGGGCAGTCGTGAGGGTAACATCAAGTGCTCCCCGCAGAGTTCCCACAACGGCTGGAAGGACACGCAGTCCGATAGCGTTAAGTCGGGCGTGTCCCCCTACAGAGAGATGTTCGACGAAACATAAAACAAATCCGCAAAAATGCCCCCAAAGGCCAAACAAAAACTCAAAAAATAGTCCCCGGACTATTTTAGGATTATTTTGGACTATTTTTTCGTGTACTTTTTATCTGCCGTCGAAAGTCCCCCTGTAGGGGGATAGGCCCTAACGATAGCGTGGCCCAGCTCTGGCCACAATGATCGGGCGAATGCGCGCTTCCAACAGGCAGGGGAGTGGCGATGATTCGCCGCGAGCGTAGTCGATACTCCAAACAAGCCTTCAGGCAACCCCCAACAAGGACAGCTGGCATGCGCGCTGCGTCACGACCCTCGATGCTTCGCGCTACTTTGCTAAACTCCCAAAGAGCAGCCGGTGATGCACCGCCAACATGCGGGACACTAATAAGGGATCCAAGCACTCGAGTCCCGTGATTTCTGAGCTTCTCTTGCCGCCCTCCATTGCGATTTGTTCCAAAGGCCTGGAGCGCGGAAGAAGCTGTCCCAAGATGACGAGAGAGGAGGGAGGAGTGGCGAGAGAGGGGAGGGGGAGGAGGACGAAGTAAGAAGCAGGGATGGGGGGTGGAGGGAGGGAGAGAGGAGGGACGAATTCTCTGCCTCATTGTCTTCAATGAACGTGTTCTTGACCGTGTAGCCCGCGGGCGCCTCGGATCCGACGCGCACAGAGGAGAGAGGGGGGATGTAGCCGCGGAGGGGGGACAGGAAGGAAGGAGGACGGGAGGGATGACCGGGAGGTCCAGCGCAAGCCATGCGACTGGGCGGCGGGCATGCAGACGCGCCGCCGGAGAAAGGAAACAGGCGGCGGTCCGGCGGGGAGGAAGGGTCGAGGGAGGGGAAACGAGGGAAACAAAACATCGAAACAACAAATCAAATACGCGGGCTCCTGACCCCAAGAACGGTCACGCGCACGGCTTCGAATGACAGTTGGCCGAGAAACTGCAAGGGGGAAGAAGTAAGATGGATCAGTAAAGTGGATCTGACGGTGAAAAACTCATCTCAGACGGGAAGCAAAAAAGGAAGACTGGCGGGGAAAAGCCGCCCCTCTTGAAACCTTCAATGCCATGCTCCAAAGAGTCGAGCGATGCCACACGAGGTGTCTCAGACCGACATTACCTCCTCATCGTGTTCAAAACGAGTCACCTCACTCTCCAGGGGGAACCCGAAGGTACTGATACCACCACTACCAGGAACTCTCCCTTGGTGCGTTCTGACCAGAATTTCGAAGCGAATCCATCGGTGGCGACGGGGGCTACCCTTGCATCCTTGCCTCCTCGGTCTCCTTGGCCACTTTCGTTGACCTCGCCCCGCTCGAAAAGCGTCGATATGGCCTTCCAAGGCCCGTGCATCTTGATCGTGCGCCCTTCTGATACGAGTTGACTGTACATTTTCCTCCTCTGATCTCCGCCGTGCGATGCGCAATGATATTTGCGCACTCGCGCGGCACTCCCAGGGAGTGGCCCACGCCGCGCGAGAGGGTTGCCTCTGATCTCCCCCCTGCGCCAATCCCCCCCGATCGTTGCTCCTCAATTACTGAGGGGGGGGTATTACGGGTGCCCCTGAGCCACGGTGCCTCCAGCTCGTCGCTCCACTCTGGAGCCCCTGAGGCCCTTTAGGCCTCGTGGGGGGTGCTCTGGAGGCCGTGGCGGCCTCCTTGGAAATCCTTGGGGCACCTTGGGCCAGGAGCACTTCCAGCAGCACCCGAAATACACACACTTCTACACAAACAGGCGTGCGCCTAATGCACGCGCCCACCGCCCTCTGGTAGCCGCGGCTGGAAATCCATCCACGATCGTGAGACCGCCCGCGCCCGCGGGCACCCCGCGACTGCTGTGAGCTCCTTGCCTCTTGTCTGGAAGCCGCCGACATGGGTGCCAGAGCAGACAGGGTCGGAGGATCGGGACGCATCGCCGATGCATCGCGTCGGCGAGGTCGGGATTCAGATATGAAGGGGCCTTGAGACACACAAATAAATACACACACATAAAAGAATTCCTCATATTTTCCCAAAAATTCTGGATTTCTGTCTTCCCCCCACTGCCCATATTTTCCAATATTTTCTGGGGAAACGACGATTAATTGTGTCTGTGTGTTTTCTCCCCTCCTGAAGATGATCAGGTCCCAGATCGCGGCACGTCGCCGATGCATCGGGGATGCGAACGTTTCCCTCCAGGACCCTCCGGCCCCGACGTGGGTGGCCCAGATCTGGCGTAGTTGTGCAGAAGCTGACGCGTGCGTGCGCAAAAGTTGCGCCTCCCTCGACGACGGCGACGACGACGCCGGCGGCGGCAGAGATGACGACGAGGACAGCGACGCAGGCGCGGCGGCGACCACGCCGACGACGGCAGCGGAGGCGACGACGAGGGCGACGACGAATGCGGTGCGGGCGACGGCGATGACGAAGTCGGCGTGGCGGCGACCCCCCTTCGACCCGCAGCGGCGGGCCTGACGCTGCCATACTCCTCCGCCCAATTGGTCCCCGGACTCGGCAGGCTCGAAGAAAGACTGCTGCGAGAGGCGGCAGGCGGTGTCCTCGGAAGAGCGGCCCGACGACAACGACGACGACAACGACAACGACGACGACGATGACGACGATGACGACGAACACGACGACGACGACCACGGCGACGACGAACACCTAGACGACGACGACCACGACAACAACGACGACGACGACCCAGACGATCACCTCCACTTCGATTCCGACGACGAATCTGCCAACGCGGTGGCGGCCACGACGAAGACGCCGACGAGAGTCGCGGCGGCGATCGACGGCGGCGACGAATTCGCAGACTCACAGAATCTCTCGGGACCTCCTGGTAGCGCTGGGGCCGCACGGAGCGTCGCAGCAACTGGCAACTCGTGGGGGGTGGGGGGGGCCCTCCCTGGCCCGAGTCGCGGCTCGAACGCCCAGGAGCCCCCCCGGCGCGCTGACCGCATCGCCAGATGGCGGCCCCCCCATCGTGTCAGGACAGGCCGCCGGCTCAGGGCCCCAGACCCGCCCCCGAGGCTCCTCGCGCGAGGTGTGCAGGAGAGCCCAGAATCGAATCGACGAGTCGCATCGGCAATCGAACTAATCGGGTGGGGGAAGGTCGGCAGACGAGTCGGGAAAAGCCAACTCGGCGGATATCGGCAGGCGAGTAGGCCTCCAGGAAGTCGGAGCCCGAATCGGAATCCGAAGTCGAATCGAATCGGACTGCGAGGCCCCGAGAGCACGAGGGCCCGGCCTGCGAGGGTCGAGCGGCAGTTTTAGGGCGGGCCTGTCCCCCTGCAGGGGGATTTCCGACGAAAAATAAAAAAACACGCCAGAAATAGTCAAAAAATAGCCCAAACATAATCCTGGGACTATTTTTGGTGTATGTTTTAATTATTCCCGGGGCATGTTTGGGGTATTTTTTAAAAATTGTTCGTCGAAAATCCCCGTGTAGGGGGACATGCCCGACTTGGCGGCAGTTTCCACGGCGCGAGGCCCCCAAAGCTCTTGGCCCCGTCGCCGGGGCCGGCTCTCCGTCGAGGCTCCTCTTGTGGGCAGCAGGGATCGAGAACGGCCCCTGAGGGGCTTCGCTTACTGCATCATTCTCAATATCATCATCTTCATCATCACCATCACCATCACCATCACCATCACCATCACCATCACCATCATCATCATCAGCATCAGCATCAGCATCATCATCATCATCATCATCATCATCATCATCATCATCATCATCATCAGCATCATCATCATCATCATCATCATCATCATCATCGCATCAGCAGCATCAGCATCAGCATCATCATCATCATCATCATCATCATCATCATCATCATCATATTCATCATCATCATCATCATCATCATCATCATCATCAGCATCAGCATCATCATCATCATCATCATCAGCATCATCATCATCATCATCAGTAGCATCATCATCATCATCATCATCATCATCATCATGGTCGTCGGCGTCGTCGTCGTCATCATCATCATCATCGTCGTCATCGTCATCATCACCATCATCATCATATCAGCATCATCGATGAAACAGTACTGAAATGGTGGCAGTGATGTGCATGCCCTTTCCCTGGAATGACAAGGCTCCGCAAATAATTTCTCGCCGACAACGTCGATTGGCGATCACCCCGCAAACACATGCGCACTGTCGTGTTCCGGCAATGCCAGTGCAGTGTTGAACAGACTCGATTTCTACAGTATAAACGGCTCGTCTGCCCAACAAATATCAGGCTGGCGTTGCAGGGGCCAGATTGACTAACCATGTCCACAATCGAAACACCACACCTGAGTCCTAAGCTTGCCCGGTAGAAGGGGCAGAAAACGTTCGGGCTCTCCTGGCGTCATCCTGGGATGTCCTGGGGTCTCGTGAGGTCTGTCGCTCAACTCCTGTCGCACTCAGGACTTCTGACTTCTCAGAGATGGCTTGTCCCTTGCCTGCTCATGCGAGTTCTTGCAGCGTGTCAGTGGTCACATTGCTGGGCTGGTGGCAGTCATGCGAGTTCTTGCAGCGTGTCAGTGGTGACATTGCTGGGCTGGTGGCAGTATGGGATCCTGGATGTTGTTGTCTAGTGCCAACTTCTCCACATACACGGTCCCGACCTCCCCAGTCGACCCCGCTTCCCCTGCTGGTTAATCACCCCCGCTGCTCTGCTGGGCGCCCGCCACGGCGACGGTGCGTGCGTCGTCTGCGAGGGACCCAGAATCCAGGGCGCCGGTGCGCTCCACAGAGGGGGATTAGGAGCGGGAGAGGGGAACGGGGGGGAATGAGTGAGGGGAGAAAGGGGAGGGAGGGAGGTAGGAAGAGGGGGGGCATGGGGGGCGCTTTGGAGGAAGAGGAGGGGGAGGGGGAGGGGGAGAGAAGGAGGAGGAAGAGGAGGAGGAGGAGGATGCGGAGGGAGAGGAGGGGGAAGTGGGAAGTGGGAAGTGGAAAAAGGGCGCGTGCGCACGCAAAGCTGGCATTGTCTGGTGTTCTGCCCAACGGATGGGAAGAGGGAGGGAGGCAGGAGGGGTGAGGACGAGGGCCCCCCCCCTCTCCCATCTCCCCTTCAAGATAAACCATCCCAGTCCTGGCCGAGCCCGCAGCCGCCGCCCTGCAGGTGGGGCGGCGCGGACGGCGCGGAGGCCGCCTGGAGCCAGGCGCACGACGTCACCGTCGCAGCCGCCGCCGCAGTCGTCGTCCTCGTCGCCCCCCCCCCGTCGTTGCCGCTGCCGTCGCCGTGGACGTCGCCGAGTCGCCGTCAGCGTTGTCGGAGGGGTGGGCACCTCGAAGATAGGGGGCCTGAGACATGGGGCCCTACGGCCAGGAGGTTCTGAACAGTGCAAGCTCGACCTGGAAGCCTTTCCTTGGAACCTCATCCCTCCCTCAGGGCACAATCTTCAAACCTCCGAGCGGGGTGCGATGTCAGCGTCTTCGGCGTCTGCCGCCAAGGTTTCGATGGCGGCGTCGTCACCGCCAGCCGTCGCCAGCATCCACGCCTCAATCGCAGGCACCGTTGAAACACAGCTCAGGATAAAGTGCTGGTCCTGGGGAAAGCCCCAGGCAAAGCCCCTAGGGAAACAAGCGAATATCTCAGGACCCTCTTCCTTCAGGGCAAGCCTGAGATGTCGGCGTCTTCGCCGCCGACACCGTCGGGTTGTGTGGTGGCGGCGCGCGCCATCACCGTCGGCGTCGTTGCAAGAGTTGGCGTCGTCGCCACCGCACCTCGCGCGGCGACCTCGCCGCGAGCCGTCGTCGACGCCGCCGTCGCTGCCGTCCTACACCGCCGCTGCCGACGACGTCGCCGTCGGTGTCGTTGCCGTCGCAATCGTCGCGATCGACGTCGCTCCCGCCGTGGTCGGCGTCGTCGCCGTGGCCGCCGGCACGCCGCCACCTCCGCCGCCGAGGGCCGCCGAGGTGGGGCGGCCGACAGAGCTCCGCGGGCACCCCAGGACGACTGCGGGCGGTGCCCCCCCCGAAGCGTGGGGGGGCTGGCAAACGCGAGGTGAGCAGGGACCGACCGTCCCAGCATTCCTGCAGGCATACGACGACATTTCGTGGAACAAACAGGTAGCCGAATCATACAACAATGTGCTTAGAACAGAATTCCGATGTGTTGAAACAAAGCGGTCTCAACCAAAAAAGTCCGAACATTCCGTGCAGATCGCAAAAGGTGTTTAAACAAATCTGTGGGTCGCCCATCAGGAAGATGGGACTGAAGGGGCCCCAGGACACACAAATAAATACACACAAATAAACATATTCCCCATATTTTTCCATATTTTCTGGGTTTTTGTCTTCCCCCCTACTTCCCATATTTTCCCATATTTTCTGGGAAATCGACGATTAATTGTGTCCGTGTGTTTTTTCCCCTCCTGAGGGACGCTTCGCCAGTGCTTGAGGAAGGCGGCTCGGGCCAGAATTTCGACTGTGGTCGGGCGGGGTCTGGCGCCCTGTTTTTTTTTTGGCGTGCAATGCCGACGGGGCACGCACCGGCCGCCTCCGCTCTCGAGGGGGGCACGCTCCTCGCTCTCCAGACCGGAGGGGCCACGGCCGCAGTGGAGGAAGGACGCGTGAAACCAGGCCTCTGGCCGCGATGGAGGAGGGAGGATGAGAGGGAGGACCACGACCAAAACTTCCCGCGGTTGTCCAGGTCCTCAATTTCGGGCTCCAGACGCGGGAAAAGATCAGGCACGACAGGTTACGATCGCCATGAGGATTGCGGCGACGAGGACGAGGAGCGAGAGGGGTGATGACTGTTCGGGGCGGGAGCTCACAGACTCCTGACAGCCAGCTGCGATCGATGATCGACGACCGACGACGCAGACGTCCACGGCGGATGCGCCGTCGTCGCTGGGGGCGCTGACGCCCACGTCCTCGCCGCCCCCGCGGTGATCACGGTTCCGCTTGCGCCGCGGCCAGCGGCGGCGCAAGCGCCGCCGCCGCCACGCCGGCGGTGGCGGCGATGACGACGGCGCCTTGGGAAACAAAAAGGTACCGATACCGCTACACCCCAGACCTCTCCCGGGGCGCGTTCTGACTAAAACTTCGACCGAAACCATCGGTGGCGACAAGGGCCTCCACGAAGGCCGAAAAGAGGAGAACGGAGGGAGGGTAGCGGTATGGGTACCTCTTCCTCCTCTGAACGACACCGGCGTCACCGCCCCCAGCGCCGACGGCGCCGCCGCCGCCAAGCACGTCGTCGTCGTCGTCGTCGTCGTCGTCGTCGTCGTCGTCGTCGTCGCTTGTCGTCGTCGTCGTTGTCGTCGTCGACGACGCGGGCGCTGCGTCGGCGTCGGCGGCAGGGTCGACGACGGCGGCGGGGCCCCGCCCAGCGCCTGGGGCGGGCCGCCTTCGGCGGCCAGCGGCAGGGAGGCACACGCCCCAGCGGGCTGCCTCGGAAGGCCTTCCACGGCCAGCGGCTGCGCGGAGAAGCCGTCTGCCATCCTTCGGGGAGGCGGGGATGATGCTGCATTCGGGTGTGACCACCAATGACAACCGACGTACTCCTAGTTTCTTGAGAAGCGTCGGGGGGTCGTCCCCCCCGCCGACAGCCCCACATCGACCCCCGTCGCGGGCAGCCACCGCGCGCCGAAGGCACTCCGACCCCAGTCGCGGCGCGACGACGAGGCGAGGCGGGGGTACCCCCCCCGACGGGGATTGATAATCCCCGTCGGGGGGGGGACCCCCTCACGCTTATTCAGAAACCCAAAGTAAAAACATGTTTGTTTCGAGAGATCCCCACCGAAACTTTCGGCGCTTGATCCCGACCGTGCTCGCGCCCATTGGAACGACGTGCACAAGGCCCGGTGGTGTCGGCCACTGCGGCGGTCAGACCAGGTCGCAAGATGCCGTTCTCCTGAATTCGAACGGCCCCAGAGCTCCAGAACATCAATAACAAACTACGTAAACATAAACTTAGGGAAATCAGCGCGGATGTCTTGGATGGGCGCTGGGCATCCTGAGTGGCGCCTAGCACGAAAAGCGCCGCAGTCGGCGCCAACGTGGTCCAACGTCGATCCATGAAAACTCCGCGCGCACGTCAGAACAATTTTGATGTCGCTTTCTTCGCCAACAAACATGTTGAGGTTCCTTCTTTGGATAGAGCGTGTTCTACCGCTGCTGGCGGAAAACCGGGGGGGGTCACTGGGGGTTCCTAACCCGTCCCACCCACCCCCCTCGAAAACCGGGGGGGTCACTACTGGTTCGACCCCCCCCCCAGTCCATAATAAAAAGGGAGGGGGGGTCACTACCGGTTCGGGGGGGGTCACTACCGGTTCGAACCCCCCCCCCTCGAAAACCGGGGGCGGGTCACTACGGGTTCGACCCCCCCCCCCCTTTCTCGCCGACGGCAAACAATGCCCGCTCCTCGGGACAGCAGTTGGAGAATGGTGGCGATGTTGGGACAATGGTGGGAACGGTGGTGGTGGGGACAGTGGTGCGGGGACAGTGGGACAGTGGTGCGGACAGTGGTGGGGACGGTGGTGGTGGGGACAGTGGTGAGGGGACAGCGGGACAGTGGTGGGGACAGTGGGACAGTGGTGGGGACGGTAGTGGTGGGGACAGTGGTGAAGGCGGTAGTTCGGACAGTGGTGGGACAGCAGTACAGTGGGGAAAATGGTGGGGACAGTGGGACAGTGATGGGGACAGTGGGGACTGTGGGACAGCACAGTGGGACAGCGGCGGAGACAGTGGGACAGTGGTGGGAACAGTGGGACAGTGGTGGGGAAAGTGGGGAGAGTGGGATTGTGGTGGGACAGTGGCGGGGAGAGTGGGGACAGTGAGACACTGGTGGGGGCACTGGTGGGGACAGCGGGGACAATGGTGGGAACAGTGGGGACAGTGGGACAGTGGTGGGGACGGTGGTGGTGGGGACAGTGGTGTGGGGACAGTGGGAAGTGGTGGGGACAGTGGGACAGTGGTGGGTACAGTGGTGGTGGCGACAGTGGTTGAGGGCGGTGGCGAGGACGGCGGAGGGATAGTGGAACAGAAGTGCAGTAGGGACACTGGTGGGAACAGTGGGAACAGGGGCAGTGGGACAGTGGTGGGGACGGTGGTGGGGACAGTGGTGTGGGGACAGTGGGAATGTGGTGGGGACAGTGGGGACAGTGGAGGGGGGGGGGGCTGGGGAGGGGGGTGTTTTGCCGGGGGGGAGGGGGGGGGGGGCTTCCAGCGGGGGGGGGATTTTCGGAGGGGGGGGGCGGGTTCCGGAGGAAGAAAGGGGGGAGTTTTCCACAATAAGGGGGCGGTGGATCACGCTCTCTCCTTCTTTGTGTTATATGGAGCTTGGTCTGGCTGTCGGTTTACTTGGCTTGCTGTCGCCGCGTCTGTCGTCGTCGCCGCCCGTCGCCGCTGCTCACACCGCATTGTTCACGCATGATAACTCAGACCACGTAGATCGCACCACGCAGCCTGCAACACATAGCTCACTTCGCATATAGTGCGAGCTCCCATGGTAAGGACGCGCGCGAAGGAAACAATGGCTTGGAAGGCAATGGCCAGACTTTGCGAGCGGGGCACGGCCAGCAAAAGCAAGTGGAAGGATGCAAGGGAAACCTTGGAATGTTGATCAGTTTCTCTGTGTGGGATGGGTGTATTTGGTTACTCGAACGACAAACTTGGATCCCGCTTGTTGCATCGACATCCCATGGGGCACTGCATCTAACACATGTTGATTCCAAATCGTTCATTCCGAATGCGAACCCGTATCGTCCCAGCTGGACCCGCTATCGACGCCCAATCGCATGCATATCAAATGCACGCGTTTGCGCACTAGTTTGGCGAACGTCATATGTTGGCAGGAGCCAGCTGCATCGAGGGCGCAAAACTATGCCGACACATGGCACATAACCGTCGAAGCGATTCCCGTCTGGAGCGTAACATTGAAATTGCCCGCAGCATTGGACTCGCCACACAGCCGTGCCATGTAATTCTGATCCAACAATTCTGCGCGCGGTTGCGCGCATTTAAACGGCAAGCGCACGTTTACCATCGTTTTCACAAGATCGCATGTTCACCATCGTTTACCAACTCGCGCGCGAATGCCGAAATCTGTCGAACGCCTTCATATGCGCGTGATGGGTGGGGCACAATCCCTGCCCCCAAAAAGCATGTGGGCAAATCGCGCGCGTCGCTCGCACGCGCATGTCACAATCCTCCCCAAACCCTCCATCGCTGACACGCGGCGCCATCATCGCCATCGGCGTGACCAAAATCGGCGCCGTCATTGGCCCTGCAATCGTCATCTGAATCATCGTCACCATCATGACCCACACTCCTATCATGATCGCGTCTGCTATCAGCGCCGAGCAATCATCGCAGTCGCCGCCGCGGCACACCCGCCGCTGCGGGTCGGCAAATGGGGCGATTGCGCGAGCACTGGGGTTGGCATACTCGCGTTCCGCATGTAAATCTGAACATCTAGCCCCCCCCCCCTCCGCCCATGGGCCTCGCGCCGCCCCTTCTGGGGCAATGCAATTTGCATGCGACGCTGCCCTGCCATTAATTCAAAACGGGAGCGCGCGCCGCCCCGGGGAAATCGGGTTGCCGACCCCCGCCCCGCACCCCTGCAAGACAATGGCATCCGCGCTAGCGATTTTCAAATGTCCTTCGCGAGCGATGGACGAAACGGACGCCCACGCGCGCGCGTCTTCGCGCGGGCGCGCGCCAAAAGTTGTCAGCAACCATCGGCTGCACATGCTTTTCCAATATCGAGGCGCCCGAAACGCGCGTGGACACCAGTTGTTGCGCAACTTGTGGTTTAAGCAAACGATCGGCCATCAAAACTTCATCGGGCGCGACCGAGCGAGCGCCTCGCGAGCGCGCGTCTAAGTCATCCACGCGCCCTCGCGCGCATTTTAGTCGCGCGAATCCCAGGCGAGACATGAAACCAAGTCCGCGCGCGCTCGGCGTCGCACGCACATCCAGGAATCCCCCGACAACCGTTCGTTTCGCACAACACCTGAAAATCAACCTCCCACGCAAACGTGCGATTGAAATCTACGGCCGTCACGCACATGGTACAGACAAGTCTGGGCGCGCTCTTGAGAACGAGTGAGACCAACGACGTCTCTTGCATGTTCCTCGAATTCGACCAAAGGGGCCTTTCGAGCGCGCGTGCCGGAATCACGCGAACGCCCTTGCGCGCTTGCTCGGGGGGGCGGGACCCCCGTCAAAACGCGACGCGGACCGCCCGCGCACGCTGGCCGCGCGCGCGCGCCAAGAACCTTCCGCCGCGCCCATCTCCGACGCGCGGGCGCCATCTTCGTCGTCGGCGATGGCGCCGTCAATTGGCCCCCCCGTCGCTCTCGTCATCGTCGTCGCCAAAATCGCGACTATCGTCGTCGCGTCTGACGTCGTCGACGCGGCCGCGATGCCGCTCCCGCCGGAGTCCCCGACTCGCGCTGAAGTGCCCTCGCGCGAGCGCGGCCTGCGAGACGCGCTGGGAAGTCCCTGGCGGCAAGTGCCCCGTGGCCGCGTCGATCGCGCCGAACTCCCTGGACGCTTTGCGCGCGGGCCAGCGCGCGCTAGCGCGGCCGCAGCGGCGCGCGAGCCAGCGTCAAGCGGCCGTCGCAACCGGACCCGCAGGGGTTTGCAAACCACGTTGCGGGCGGGCGGGCGGGCGGGGCGATCACTCGAGCACGGAGGATGGCAATTTCAAGAACAGCAGGGTGATTTGCCACGCGTAGATGGCGCCGCGTAGCTCGCGCCACATAGTTCATTATCCCCTCCTAGAATGAAGCGGGATCTACCCCCCGTCCGCGGGAGCGTCGATGCACCCTGGAGATGTGCAAATCACGTATGATGGTGCCCGATCGCCCATGCTCACAATAAGCGCATGCCACCCAGGTCAGGCCGGCGTCGTCTCCCTCTCATCCCGCGCAGAGAAAGCTACGCGCGCGCTCGTTTATCGCGCGCTGTCAGATTTCAAGAACGCCCTGCACGAAGTGCGACTCATGGTGCGTGCGCGTCGTCTTGCGCGCGCTGGGATCATTCGAACACCTTGCGTTTCGCCGGGGGCTCCAAATCGGGCCCCGCAACAAACTAACACGCATGGTTCTGTAACACTGCGCGCCTGAGGAATCTGCGCGAGAATTTGCTGAATCTTCGGGCAATCTGAGTTTGCAACATTCCTACCACATGTGCCGAGCATACCTCGCGCGGGCCAAACGAAATCGCACGAACGCACTCGCGCGCGCGGGGGGGCGGGGGGGCGGGCGGAGCGGGCGGCGTTCGCGCGCCTGCGAGCGCACGCGCACGCGCGTGAGCGTGGGGGGTGGGGGGTGGGGGGGGGGGCATGGCCCCGTCGAGTGATTCCGAGGGGCCGCCCGCGCGCGTCGGCCGAGCGCCCGTCAAGAAATCCCCCCGCAACCTCCGCCGCCGACGTGCGGGCGCCATCGTCGCCGTCGGCGCCGTGACCAGCGGCGCCATTAGTGGCCTTGCCGTCG